TTCAATGGCATTTGGGATATTGAGTAAAGCTTTTTCACAAATAATTTAATAATTTCCTTGGAAAGTGAATGAAACTCAATTTATTTTCGTGGCAATTTGAATTGAGAACCATAGCCAAGAGCGTACGCACACCTGAAACTGTCGCACAAGTGTTTAGTTTCGCTTTGAATATTAGGAGCTTATCTAAGGCACACTACTCGATTTTTTTGTGCAACTAAACAGTTAAATTGGCTTGGAAACAATCGACAAGCGTATAACAGTCAAAGGTATGCCCACGCTCTAAAAGTGTATGGAAGGTAAATAGCAGTAATCTTACTTCTTACTAATATTATAAATGCGAAAGTTTAGATGGATGCATGGATAGATGGATGGATGGATGGATGTTTGTTAGTGTTTGTAGGCTAAAGGGCTGAACGGATCTCTCTGAAATTTGGCACAGGTTTAGAGCATAGTCTGGAAGAACACATAGGCTACTTTTTATCCCGGGAATAGTTACGGTTCCCGTGGGATTCATTAATTCAATTTTTTAATGTTTACTCGATCATGCTGCAACAGTTCAACATATCGTATTGAAATTTGGCACAGATATAAAACAAAGTCTGGAGTACAGATAGGATAATCATCATCCCCGAGAAATGTCCGGTTCCCGAGGGATACGCAACTTTTTGTAATTTATATAGTTTGTATGTTTACTAATGCCACGCGGACGAAGTCGCGGGTAACAGCTCGTTCTTATATAAAAAGGAAATCAAAACATGGATATTACGGGAAGGAAGCGTATGTGCAATCATTAATGTCAGCCACGAGGTCAGCAATCATCCCGCGAGATAAAAACTACAACTCTAACATCATTAATCCCACGCACAAATATCGCGACACAATTTTACTTTCAATTTTAATCTCCCCTGTATTCTTGTGTTCATTTTCTAATGCTATTGTAAATATGCGTTCTAAAGATAACTCTCATGATGTTTTGTTGAGACTATTTTAAATAACATTCCCTTCGAGATGTATTATATCAAAAATTTTAAGATAAATCGCTAAGTTATCTTATTAATGTACTGGACACAGTCTTCGTTTTCCAAATTAAAATACACTTAGATTCATTAAGTGGTCGCCTTTAATAAAAACTCATTTTTTTTAAATGATATAAAGTGGCAAACGAGCAAGCGGCCACCTGAATCCACAAAAGGTGCCCTTTTATGTGACCAGTCGGTACCAGCGGAGAATTTGCAATAATACCACTAATCGTTTTTGCACACTTATTAATTCACGTTCATATAATTTGTCTATTCTATTGTCAGTCGGACGGTTCGTTGCGATTTCTGACTTGAATTGACATTTCTTATAAGTAGGGTTATTGCTCTTTTAATATGGTATTGTCAAATTGTAGTTAAAGTTTAGTTGCACGTGGACAAATAATACATCATACTTCATACTAATCTATGTCTATATCTATACTATTATTATAAAAAGGAAATATTTGTATTTTTCTATATTTGTATGTATTGAAATAACTCAAAAACTACTGGGTCGATTTTAAAAATTATTTCACCATTAGAAAGGTAATTTATCTGTGAGTAACATAGGCTAAATTTTATCTTATTTTTAAATTTCACGCGGGCGAAGTCGCGAGCAACAGCTAGTATTATAAATGCGAAAGTTTAGATGGATGGATGTTTGTTAGAGTTTGTAGCCTAAACGGCTGAACGGATTTTGATGAAATTTCGCATAGATGTAGAGGATAGTCTGGAAGAACACATAGGCTACTCACTTTTGTTTTTTTTTAATTCCACGCGGACGGAGTCGCGGGTGAAAGCTAGTTACTTTATCTTATTTAGTAAAATCAAAATAATAGTGCGTTATAACTAATATATTAGTTTTACTTGAAAGCCAGTTTAATCCTTAACTATTGAAAATCTTGAAAGATACATTTTTCATCTAATAAGTTTCTTAAACGTTTTAAAATAAGCTTTTAAATTGCAATTCTTTGTAGTATACTTATGATTCATTTAAAAGCTGAATCAATTTGTACAGTAAATTAAAGAACTTGTCGAAAAGCATTACAATTAGATAAATAAATAAATAAAGTGCATTAAAAAGCTCTCTTTAACACGTAGAATGAATATTTCATTTATATAGATCTAAATAAGGCGTTGTCCTACAAAAGATTTCCAAACAATAAAATGTATTGTTTTTAAGCTCACCTGAAAATCTCTCTCGAAATCTGTAAACATCAAAGCTTCTTTTAACGTATCGCGTAAAGCTCGATGAATAATTGAGGTCGAACGATTTCATTTCAAACATTTCTCTAATTTATGATTGCGTAGTAAAACGAAGTCGACATTAAAATGTCGATAAATTATAATAACACTTTAACAGCGCGGATTTACTCTTTGTTTGAAGTTATGACAGCTGGCCCGTCTCGCCGCGTATTGAGACGAAAGTCTTTTAGAAAGCGCTTTTGTATAATGTATGCACTTAACTCTGTTTTAAAGGTAAACATAACAAATCTAATATAATTAACTGTAAGTACTTTCTACTATTTAGTCCTATTTATAGGATCATTGCTGAAGTGTTACTAACACGAGTGGGTACTAAGGGTGTCCATTAGTAGAAAATGAGTACGATAATAACATTAAGGAATCTAAGTACAACTAAAAAGATAACGATAAATTCAAGATATTTTTTTTTATAATAAAGAGGACAAACGAGCGACGAGAACCCCGAGGTGGTCAGCGACGCCCATGGACATGGACCCATGGACAACACCAGAGGAACTAGATGCGTTGCCGGCTTTTGAGGAAATGATAGGCTCGCTTCTAGAAGGACCCTGAGATATGTTATTTTTGCAATAATTGATGGCTTATCCTAATTTTTCTGCTTAAATGAACGTATATGTGGGATCATAATAACGCTGTATCTACTATATTTGTAAAATTTCAATCATTTCAGGATGAAGCTTCTGAAATAGTTGAAATGTAACTTTAACTTTATTCGGACAAAAACGACTTTCATAGAATACCGAAAAATAAATCAAAGTGATGAATAGAAGCCTTAAAACCAAAAGATGGCGTCAGCGTATATTGTAATAGACGTTTTCGTTTTTCTGATACGAGTACCTTACAAATCACAAGATTTATCTAACTTAGACGAGATTTATTGCTTTCCTGTTTTCAAGAAGGTCCGTATTATTTGGACTTATAGGAGATACGTTTATAGCACTTTGATCGGTTTGTGGAAATCGTGTAATTGCTTGTTATTCGTACTGGTATATCGTTTTACTCGTGTGCCAGAATTTAAATGAAACATGTTTTTAAATCGTCAACTTACAGTACGAACCAAAACAAAAGTCCATGACTCATTGAAACCCTTCATAAAAGTGTTCCCAATTCTATTAATATTACACTAACCAAATTCTAAAAGAACAGGTTTTATTTTGATAAACAAGAATCAAAGGAAAAAAAAGTTCGGTCCAAAAGAATAATGGAATCAAACGAACAATTCACAAACGTCCCGAATAAGAGAACAATGTTCATAAGTGTAAAGGTAGCGGGGTAAAGGTTGACGTCTTGTAACTAGACAGAAATGTTGATTTTAACACTTGTTGACTTTCATATTCAATCTCATTTCACCGCTCGCTACAAAGGACTGAATAATAATTTACACTTCCGAATCACGGAGTGGAATATGAAATTTTTATTTGTACATCTGATCTTGGATGGCATGTATTTTTCTAGAAATATTGTAAAATGTAATAAAACACGCCGAGATTTCGTCCGGCTTTATTATTTTTTTTACAGTATAAGTTGACAAAAGAGCAAGTCGCCTTTCAAATTCGCCAATATAACGAAGCGACCGCTGCTCCACAGTTGAGATCAACAGAGAAGGAGACACACAGGAAAATGACATCGCAGTCCCATTACCTTTCCACCCTCTTTTTAAGAGAAATGATAGGAAGGAAATATTGACTTTACGGCGAAAAAGATGCGTAGGAAGGGGAAATATCCTCTTTATGTGCGTCTCCTTTACCATCGATTAGGCAGTGCATCTGCAATTGCGAATGTCTATCGGCAACCGTCGCTTCGCTTCATGTGGCGTTTACTCGTTTGCCACCTTATAATGAAAAAATAAATATTTCTCCTCTATATGGATCCCATTCCCAAATCAGCTTAGCATAGCAACATGCGACTGCTTAGCTCGTGTAAATGCATGACCAAATACAATGTTTAATAACAAACTTCAAGTTGAATGTTTTCTTTTGTTTTTAATGTTTTATTGTTAGGTTCCGATTGAGAGCATAGAATCGTTTTAAATCAGTAGACGATCACTCAGCACATTTTTTGAGTTAAAAATGTGTTAAGCTTGAGCGTTGAAACTTCCCCCGCGCAGTTGTCGTAAACAGACATGAAGTATACCTTAAAAACACCATGTGTCTCGCACATGATTGACGTTATATGGGTTTACGATCCCGGTTGAAATATCACGACTAATGTAGTTAACACACATGCCTTAAGACAGATTCTTAACTTATAAAACCAATTAATTTAACTACATTTATTTCTAGTATACAAAATTTGGCATAGCATTTGAAATCACGCAGTTTATTTAAATTGTTATTTTAATACAAATGAAGCATAAAACCTTTAAAACAATATTTATACAAATTCAAATAAATACACTTTGTTCATTTTAACATATGTTTCTTATTATTTTTCGATTCGATGAATAACGAATAAA